ATATTCCATCTTATAAAAGGAAACAAAAATTTATCACAATTAGGAGTTTTAGAAATTTCAGTGAGAATAATTTTCTTATCGATCTTTCTACATCGGATATAGAAGATAGAAATCTAATATTGATGAGAAGGTGATGCACATTTCAAGCGTTATCGTGGAAACGCATAACAAACATGCACCTTTTAAAACTGTAAGAGTCAATAAGCCACCATCACCTTGGTTAACTAATGAACTGCGCACCTCTCTTGAAGAAAAGAATACTGTACAAGCGTCATATAAAGCTAATAAGACCGTGGACGCCTATAATAACTTCAAGTCGCTCAGAAACCGTGATTTTAACATGATCAGGAGGGATAAAAAGACATATATTGAAAATTTGGCAAATGAGAGTGATTCATAAAAAATGTGGAAGTCTCTCAAACAACTTGGTATATGTAAATTTCCGTAGTAAACCAAGCCTTCCAGCAAGTTTTAATGACCTTACCAAAATTAATGATAATTTTATGTCTGTTTATAGCTACAAACTGTTAGTTCACTAGTTTGCGAGAACTATTTCAAAAATAAATTTAACCCTGAATATATTTGTTCGTTAAATAAGATTAGTTCAAATGACGTAATAAGGAGCCTAAAATCTGATGCGAAGGGAATTGATGTTATATCCCTGTCAATGATCCAGCTTTGCCTGCCAGCTATTCTCCGTCATCTCGTCCACATCTTTAACGACTGTTTCGAAAAAGGCCACTTTCCAAACACATTATTCCAATTCCTAAAAAAAAATGAAACCCACTGAGTATAATGATCTTAGACCTATCAGTTTATTACCAATTTTGTCCAAAATTTTAGAAAAAATAATATAGTTCCAATTGACCGCTTACCTAGAAAAGTTCTTCATACTTCCCGATACTCAATCTGGTTTTAGTAAAAATTATAGTTCAACATCTGCTCTACTCAATCTGCACTAAGTGCCTAAAGATAAGAAAATGGCACTAGGTTAATCTCTAAAGCGTATTCGAAACCTTTGACAGCACCAATCATATATTATTACTTGCTAAATTGAATAAGGTCTTGACAGTGTATCCCTTTCACTTTTCGAAAGTTACCTTTATCAAAGAAGTGTTTTTCTCAACCAAGAAATGTCTCCAGTGACAATAATTCCCTCAGGCGTACCTCATGGCTCTGTATAGGGGCCGCTGCTGTTCCTCATATATACGTTCGACTTAAGCAAAAGTATTGATAATTCTCATGTTCAGTCATTTGCAGACGATACGCAGTCGTTCCATTATCTTGACCCAGATAATGTCAATAATGCTACAAAAAATTTACAAAACGACGTTAGTAAATTAATTAAATACACTTCAGATCACAATCTACTCATTAATCCACAAAAATTTAAAATTTTATAATTTTGCGCACAAAGAACAATATACAATGTAACACTGCTCTTGAACATTCAGGTAAATAACCAAATCTCATAATTTTCTGATTCTGTAACAATTCTTGGTTTTGTTTTTGATACAAAATCAAGGTTAAGACCTATGGCTACGTATTCTTTTAGCAAATAAGTATTTACTAAATTTTAAGTTGCGTAAAAAACTATGTGAAGCATTGGTCATATCTATAATAAATTATTGTTTAGAGAATTTCACGAAAAACGTTATTTAAGTTAATCAAAACAATTGTATACGTTTCATCTTTGGCGTACCTAAATTTGATCATGTATCAGCGAAATATCCCGTTCTTAACTGGTTGAAAATTAATGACATGGTCAAGTATCACTATTCAGTTTTTGTTCACAAGTTGCTACTCACATCTAAACCTTCTTACTTAAGGGAAAACATTCATTTAATAATGATGTTCACTGTAGAGAAAATAATATTAGAATGCCCCAGCATACGCGTACACTTTAAAACGCAGTTTTTCCTACAATGTTGCTATTATTTAAAATGACCTTCCTAAAGTATATAAGGAATTTTCATTACCTGCCTTTCGACAAAAAGTTCAAGCAATATTACTCAACCCTCCAAACATATAATTTACGAAATTCATGCATTTCTTTTTTATTCCCTCTTTAATTCAGGTTAATAATTTTGAGTGTACTTGGGTTTGGAAACTAAGCCTTTTTCTTTTTTTTATTTTTACTTTCGATGTAATGAACCAAATTTGTTTGATAGTGTATACTTTTGAACATCTGCTAGCGACTATATCGTTAAGTGTAAGAGTAGTAGCATGCTAAGCCTCGCCATGTAAGTCTGACATTTGGCTATACTACAATGTAATTGCGGATAAATACAGACGTCTGTTATTATTATTATTATTGTTATGTATAGAGCTATCTGATAGAAATTGGGCGTGGTTCTCTTAGCTTTGGAGGAACCGTATTCTTGAACAGTCCTAGAAGAATCGTACTCCGAGTCATTCTCGGGAAAAAAATTGAGGAAATCTCGCCGTCCTTCACAAATCTCACATCTAGAGAAGTTCTTGTGGTGAAATTTTATGAAAATTGTTTTGGTCTTATGTTCCACTCTTCGTAAAGTCCAGAAGTGTTTTCTATTGGAGATACAGGTTATTGAAGTTTGGTGCCTGACCTCGTGTGGGTATGCCTGCCTGAACCGTTAAATGAAAATTGGTTCGTCTTTATTGCAGACTTAACGACCTAATAAAAATCACGTAAACACATACAATATAAATACAGGGGGTCCTAACGATTCTAACAGAAATATAAAAAGGCTATGAAAGACTTGAACAAACGGTTTGCGGATAAGGATTGACACCTTATAGGTATGCATTTCTAAATAATTTGGAAATATACAGGATGTTATAAGACTCTGTAGCACAACAAACATGCTTTTTTATTTTATTAGATACTTGGTGAGACTTTTTGAAAACAAGAAGAATATATATACACTGTAAGATTTTGATTGTCATTTGTTTAGTTAATTTCTCATTTATCTGAAAACATGCTTGAAGGCTCATTTTGCATAGTTGTTCATTGAGGCTTGGAAGGATGAAAAAGTAGGTCAACTTAATAACCAGATAGCCGTTCAAATAAATTTCTATAAGCCTACTATCAGAGTATCAAAATAGAGCTTATGGAATGGAAAGCGAAAGAAATGTTTCTCAATTTATAATTATTGGGAAAAACAAAATTTGGAATATTTTTTCGACCTCACTCTAAAGTTCAATGAAAAACTACGCAAAATGACGTACTCATAGCTTTGAAATCAAGGCATTTTCAGACGAATATATAATAAAATAACTAAACAAATGACCATCAAAATCCAACAGAATATTCTGTGAGTCTTCTTTTCTCTCAAAGAACAGAGTGTTTCACAACAAAAACATGTTTACTGTGCCACTGAATTGTGAAACACCCTGTATATTTCCAAATATAATTCAGAGATACACACATATAAGACGTCAATCTAGCTGCGCATGCCGTTTCACAATATCATATAGTTTTTCTATTCAACTACTTTCAATTTTTGTTAGGACATCCTGCATATAATGTACGAGGAGGCACCCGGAATAGCATTGCAGTGGGCGGAGCTTGTTTAGTACACATTTCTGCCCCTATAGGCGTACAGCGCAACTCATTACCAGTTCAGTGCCACCTGAGTTGTCGATTTGGATTGTTTCATTCCATTGTAGTCATTATTTTTGCTAAAGATGTTTCGTGCTTGTTTCGTTTCTTAAGATGGCAAGCTTCAGTGAGCTGTGAAATTTTGCTTTCTAATTGGTGAAAAGGATGCTAAAACTGTTTTCATGTTGAAAATAGCTTAAACAGATGATGCTATGGGAAAAACTAAAGTAAACGAGTGGCTTGCTTGATTTACAAATGGCGACGATCTCTGTTCGACAGTTTCTGGGCTTCGTGCCCATTGGAACATTTCATCAGCACCAAATGACCTACCACTGTACGAATTTTCTTTAAAACTCACCGGTGCCGGCGATCTAACTACGTATATTTTGTATCTAGTACTTTGTTTGATAAATGTCAACCCACGTCAAAATTTGGGATCATTTCCGATTGAGCAGTCTACTCCAATGCGCTCAAGAGTTGACCCTCCGGCGTCAAACTTTTCCTGAAAAGTAAAAGTCGCAGTCACCGCTTAGGAGATCCCAAAATTTGTTGGCATTTGTATGGACAAATAATCAAAAGTCCAGGCTAAATCTAATAAAAAAACGCCTGAATGAATATCAGACCCTCTGACTAAGAAACTTAACGAACTTGAGTCCGGCGGCAAAGTTAGCCATGAAAATTTGTGATTAGTTAAAGCGTATTTCTTGTTCGAGATCTTCAAATACCTTTCAAGTCTTAACTAATTTTAATAATACCGGCGGACGTCTTACTACATATTTTTTTAAGAATGATTTTCGAGCATGTTTATACAAACCTCTCAATATCAGAATGGAGCCAAAACGTTAGGCGAGATACCGCATTAACACCCTGTAGATTGGACCGTTCTGACCGTCCATGTCGCAGTATTCGTAACGATCGAATCACCGACTTTGTATTTCATGCTTTTTCTACGTTCCCGGAATATTCATATATATTCCGGTAACAGAAAGGTGAAAAGCCTGGTGAAAACGCAACGACGCCCGTGGGAATATGAATCATGACGTCACGTTCCTATTGCGCATAGCGATGAGGCGTCTGCATTCAAAAATACTGCTTTTGAACTATGAGATGCAGCACATTGCCAAATTGGTACAAGCATGTTCTCAGGTTGAACGTGCCGTGTTGGAAACGGGGCAATATATTGCTCGCCTTCCCGGGTAACTTTGCCGTATATTGCAGAGGTTTCGTATCATCTTTGTTAGTTGCGGTACTTTAGATATGTTCCAGGAGATCAAAACAGTCTTCACGCCATATAAAAGCATTTCGCAACTTAGAACGACCGCATACGTTAGAAACTCCGATTCGATATGAACCAGTAATATTAGACAGTTTCTGCTGAAAAAAATGCATCTATAGTCTATCTTTTCCAATTTTGTTTCAGATTTCTGGATATTTAAAGAAGTCAAAGGTAAAGCAAGTTATGGCAGACTTAGCGCTATCTCAGGTGGCAAACAAGTGCACAGAAGACTTGACATTGAGTGAATATCGAAGATTGACGATCGGCATACAACTGATTAAAGATCCAGGTTAGAGTACACCCAAAGCGGAGTAATTACTGATCCCTACCTATATAAAGACTTGCTTTTAGTTGTGAATCAAAACTTTTCGGATGGATGCGCAAACTAATACAAAAAAGCATATAGACCAAAGCCCATGGTCATATTGTCAATTAGTATGTGCATAATTTAGTGACAAAGCACAAGAAACTAAATAGCTATTACGATGAAAGCGGAAACAATTTGCTTCACTCCAATTTGATAGGGGATCATATTATCATTTCGTTATTACTCATTTGAAATTTCGTTTCACAGAGCAGGGCGTGTGGCTCGATATTTGATTAAAAATAAATACGAGTATAAACTAACTTTCTTTGAATATCAAAATCAAAATATATATTTATTTTGCGTAATGGTTTATATACGGAAACTGCGGTAAAATATTCATGAGCACGCCTAAAAATGTCAATTGATTTGAATGAAAATGGATTGGCAGTTTTATAATAGAAAACTATGGCTTGAATTAATTGAAAGTTAGAAAACGATTTCATTTTTATGTACTTGTGATTTTTATAAAGCTTATACTTATTTCTTAAACAGGCCTAGTTAGCAAGCTGGAATGAGAGATAATGAAATTAGAGCATAGATACTGTACTTCAGCGTGAAAGTGGCAGTTTTTTTATACTTTAGCAGCCGCGAAGCCTAGGGCGTAAATACCCAGGGGTAGCTTGAGGCCGTACGGGGAAACGGGATATTCGCATATTATAATAATAGTAATAATTTATTTTTCTTGAGACAAACGAAGTTTGTACTGAAATCATCAAGAGAGCATCTATATACAGAGTTTTTACAAAACTATATTAAAACAAAATAATAAACAACATTTACACACTGATAAACTCACAGACATACAAACATTTACGTATTAAAAAGCCTTTCAAACAATACTTAAAGTGATTTTGATTTGCTGTTCCTTGTATATCCTTTGGAAGGATGTTAAAGATTTTAGGACCAAGTATATTTGGCGATTTATTTCCTACTTTAAATTTAGAAAAATTGGAGTGTATATTTTCACTCTGCCTTGTGGCAACTGTGTGTATTTATTTGCTGAGAGTCTTATTCCTGAATACATATAACGCCAACTCGTGAATCGCCAGGGCAGGTACTGCTAAGATTTTATATTTTTTAAAAATGTCTTTACAACTGTGTGTGTTACTTACGCGCGCCATTGATCTAACAATTCGCTTTTGAGCAATAAAAACACGTTGTGCAGTAGCAGAGCAGCTCCAAAGACAAATACCGTATCTGAGTCTAGATTAAACAAGGCCGTAGTATATTCCGAACAGCTGACTTTCAGAGAGAATCAGGCTTAAATTTTTAAACAAATAAGAGATAGAGTTAAGTTGCGAAACCAGGAGATCGCAATGTACTCTGAAATTTAATTTATCGTCCAGAAATATTCCCAGAAACTTAACAACAGTTTAATTGCACATTCTTATGTTTAACGTCAAGGATATTTATCTTCTTTTGTGGGTTATGGAACCTAATTAAATTGGTCTTGTCAGTATTCAAAAACAACTGATGCTTAGAAAACCAATCACTGACCTTCGCAATTACTTCGTTGCATCTATCATTTAAGATATTTTCCAATTTGCACGAGACCAATATTGATGCATCATCTGCATATAGTGTACGCAGCGCATCCTCACACATTGACTCAATCTCTTTGATATATAGAATGAACAAAACAGGCCCTAAAATGGAACGTTGAGGAACCCCAATATCGACAGTGACTTCACTGGATTGGACTCGATGTAACATTTGTTCATCTTTATGAAGTAGAGAAACATATTGTTTCCTATCAACAAGGTATGAGTTGAGCCACCTATAAGGAGCACCATTCAACCAGATGCAGTCAAGTCGCAAAATACCCCAACCGGACACTCTCCGGCATCAATCAATGAAATCAGTCGTTCATAGAACGTTGCTGACTTTCCAGTAGAGAATCCGCGTTGGTTCAGCGAGATGATATTTTTCTTCTTAAAAAAACGTCAGTAAGCGACTGGCGTAGCAAAACTCAACAATTTTTGAGAAGCCAAATGGTACCGTTATTGGCCTGAAATTTCCCATGTCTGATGGATCTCCTTTTTTGTAAACTGGTGCCACTTTCCTGTTCTTCAGAACTTCTGGAAATTTTCATAGGCAAAAAGACAAATTAATCAGATGTTCCAGGGATTTACTAATAGTGTGTAATGCCTGTTTCAAGAGAAATCCAGGAATTTCAACTGGACCAGCTGAATTTTTACTCTTGAATTTATCTTTTAACAGGTTTAAAAACTCGTCTTCCTTGAACGGATATAGAAACATTTCGTTCGCTGTATCATGTGATTTTTCGAAGTTGCACTGAGATACTGTTGTTTTAATAAACTGCGATGATATATTTTTGAAGTACGAACTGAAATGATTTGCTATATTCAGTGGATCAGTTATAACAGCTTCATCTACGAGTACTTTCAAGAGGTATTGTTGTTTCTTTTTTTCTTTTTGAGTTATTTCAGAAACTACGGTCCAAGTCGCCTTACTGAGGTTTCCCGATTGAAAAATTTTGTTTTGATAGTAAGTTCTTTTGGCTGTGACCACCAGATTCTGATGCAATTTTTTAGCTCGAAGATACTCCGATTTGGCTTCTGGGAATATTTTGGTTAAGGCGTATACGTTTCTCAGGTTCCTACTTGATATTACTACTTCATTGTTCACCCATTTCTTTGTATTCAATTTTTTAAAACGTTTGAAAAGTGGAAAATTCGTGTTAAAATGATGGAAAATTATATCAAAAAACTTTGTGAACGCTGTATCCACACAGTTTGAGTCGCCTTAGAGATCCGTCAGGTGGTACCTCGATGCTCGACAGCCGGACATTGTCTACCACCTATGGACAATCACAATATCCATAGCCAAGATAAAAGTTCTCTTGTGACGGGATTCAAAACCGCGCAGGTCACGGAGGGTGATTAGTAGACCCATAGCGTCTACCACTATGCCACCGCTCTACCTTTAACATTCCTTTGAATAGAATCAAGGGCTATGTGATATATCATTTGGGACCTCCTCACTAGAGCTTCCTAATCGTCAAATATAAAATAGCTATCTTTCAAATTGGCAGGCTGTTAAAGTTGAGCGTTTTTGTACATTGAATTACATATAACTAAACAACTAATCATCAAAACCATATGGTATGTGATATTAATCTTCCTCATTTTGAAGAGTAGGTATGTCTAAATGTGCAATAAATGTAAAAAATTCAGTTTAGAAAAGTTTGACAGATTTCGATTTTGTTTTAAATGGAATTTATGCCGCTCGCATGAAGGAAGTCTAAAGTATAGGTTTGCATTAGTTTAAAGGACATTAGTTTCGGAGAGATGCAATATACAAAGTCATGCAATAAGTACTTTGGTCCAACCTGTAAGCATAACTTGTGAACCACAATACGAAGAGACGTAAACAGTACACTTACTAATTTATACCCAGCGAAGCTTAATTTTAGTTTTTCTATATTTATACCTCCAAAACTTGACAACCACTCATTTTTTGGTAAAGTTTTAGGATAAAAAAAGTAATTTGACCTCAAATATACTAAGTGACATATAAATCCGAACACCCAGTTTAAATGGTTTTAATTTAATAAAATTTTGTATAAGTACTTAATGAAGCATAATAAGTAAATGATAAAAATTTAAAAATGATTGCACTGCTTTAAAGCCCTTTGACCTTTAATAATGTGTGGATGCACCCTGATGTACTACGCATTCTCCAACGCGCCTAGGCATGCTTCTGATCAGGTGGTCAATGTCCTCCTGTGGTATCTCATTCCAGACAACCACCAACTCCTCTCGAAGTGCTTCTAGAGTCTGAGGAGGACGTTGCAAATTGAGCAATCTCCTACCCATCATGACTCACACGTGCTCAATTGGGGATAAGTCGGGAGATCTTGCTGGCCATGGTAACAGTGTGACATCATTATGTTGAAAGAAGTCTATTGTGACTCTTGCAACATGTGGTCGGGCATTATCTTGTTGGAAAGTTGGATCTGCCAGGGTGTCAAGATAGGGTAAAAGATGGGGTTCTAGAACTTAGTAGATATAACGCTGCGCGTTCATTTTACCTCTGATGAAGATTAAAGGTGACCTGGAACCATAAGCTATAGCACCCCAAACCATAACTCCAACAGTGTGATGAACATGTCTTTCAACAAAAAACTGTGGATTCCTCCTTTCACCACGTCGCCTTCTAACCCTGGCACGACCATCGTGCATGCCTAAACAAAATCGAGACTCGTCACTAAAGACAATACTGTTCCATTCCTGATCCCAGAGTGACCGTTGTCTGCACCACTCAAGGCGATTACGTCGGTGTTCTGGAGTTAAAGGGGGACCCAGTGTGGCCGGTATGAAAACAAGCCAAAACTTCTGATTCGTCGGTAAACACTTCGCATGCCAATAGGTCTTCCGTTTTCTGCAAACCATTCATTTGCAATGGATCTGGTAGTGGAGAAACGGTCCCTTAAGGCCAATAATCTTAGGCGGCGATCTTCACGGTCTGTTGTTCTACGGCGGCGTCCAGTGCCCCTTGCTCTTTGCGTAAGGCCTTCTCGAAGCCATGCCTGACAACACTTAACCACAGTGTCTACACTTCTTAACATTCTAACTGCAATTGCTCGAAAAGAAAGTCCAGCTTCCCGAAGTCCCACTATACGGCCCCTATCAAACTCACTAAGTTGACGAAGTCGTACAGGTCTCCGTACTCTAGGCATCGTAACCGATCGTAAAGGATGTCAAGAACCAAAATCCGCCAACGTTGATTCTTTACTGCGGCTGAAATATTCATTTTTAGAGCGTTAGTGAATTAACAAAAAAGCAGTATAAAAACCGCAATGTCCAACTGATAAGGCTGAACATTTTTTCACTTGTTATTTACAGTAAGATGAGTACATTCACCAACTTTTATTAAAATAAAACCATTTAAACTGGGTG